ATAGAGCCAAAGCATACAGAAGCCTCCACAGTAATCGCCATACGTACCTTGATATTGTTTGGGATTATATCGCCCGACCCCATACTTAGTAGGCGCCGCTTCTCCCATGCTATCAAAATATTCTCCATTATGAACAGCCGTCCAGTGTCCTACATCGAGATTAGGCGGTTTAAGTAGAACCAGGTATGAACCTTTCTTCGGAAGTGGCTTTGCGATCTCGTTTGACTCAAATATTTCATCGAGATGCACCCCAATACGCTTGGCAAGTTCGATGAGATCATGATCAGATGTGATAGGCTTGACGAGATCCATAATAATTATTTTTGATAAAGTATATTACATGCCATATAGAATCTCAACGATGTCTGAAACACAACTTTCCGACCAATACCTTTACCAGAGCTCGCTCAAGAGTGATCCGGAGATTAAGGTCTCCTCTGGCAAGCGCGTGCCTTTTGTTATCGATCTTAACCAAGGTTCGTACCAAAACGGTGTTATCACTATCGACGCTACGTCTCAGCTTAATGGTAGTGAAGGATTTGCCTGCCTCCGCGATGCTTACATTGTGCTACCATACAAGGTTTCGATGAAAAACACGCACGCTACAAATGTACAGAATGCAGCCAACCGATTTTGTGTTGGTCTGAAGTGTGGCAATTTCAATGTTATCGACTCGATGTCTCTGGAGCTAAATGGTAAGACTATAGTTTCGATGGCTGATTATAAGCTGTTTTGGAACAATATCCGTGCTCAGACAGGGTACAGCCTTCAGTATGTTGAGAAGCATGGCGCTGAATCGTTTCTATACCCGGATGCTGCTCAATCAACCAAGTATAGTAGTACAGCTGCTACCACCGGAGACGGGTATTCGAATAACACAGCAATCTCTACTACCTTCACCGCCGGTACTATTTCTGCTACGGCATCGGTAGCAAATGATGGTTTTACTAAGCGTCTTCTCTCTAACCCTCCAAATGCTGGAGCTGACTCATCTACGTCGTGGCCGTCTACTGGTGCTGCATCTGCCACGACTTTCATTGCTAATCAACTTGGTCGCGGTGCGTTCGTAGCTGGCTCTGGTTCACCTGGTGCTATTATGGGGACGTGGAACTATATGCTTAAGATTAAGCTTACTGATTTACATCCGATTTTCAAGGAGCTTGACTTGATGGCTAATCCACAAATTCGTCTTCGTTTCCGCGTTAACCAGGGCACTTCAGCTATTGATGTTGATGCATCGAGAAATATGACGCTAACGGGAACAACATTATCGAGTGGCAATGTATGCCCAGTAATGGTTGCTTCTGCGACCAGTCCAAACCCAATGTACAATGTTCTTAGTGTCGCTGGTTCGATTGCAGTTTCTTGGGGTGCTGTGGTTAACTCGCTTGAGCCTACAATTGATGGAACCTACATGCCTTTCACGACTTCTCGACTGTATGTTCCTTTCGTTCATTTGGAGAACCCTCAGGCTATCATCTCTAAGCCGGTTAAGAAAGTCCGCTACAACGACTGTTATGCACAGTGGTTTTACCAGCGTGCTGGCATTGGCAAGCAGTCGACTCAGCTCAATACTGCATTTGATCTCCAGCTTTCGGCTTCTGTTAAAAATGCTAAGTATGTTATCCTCCTTCCTTTTGCCGAACAGAGCGGTAGTTTTGTTTCTGCTGCTGTCCAAGAGTTTCAGAGTCCTTTCGATTCGGCTCCTTGGACTCTTCACCCTGGTTCGAGCATTCGCAACTTCAACGTCCGCATTGGTTCGACTCAGTGCTTCGATATCTCCCATGACTACGATTTCCATCAATTCACAAACGAGTTCGCTAAGATTGCTTCGATTAATGGTGATCTGACTCCTGAGCTGGTGAATGGTCTTCTTGACTATCAGACGTGGTCTCTAACTAACCGCGTCCTTATCGCTGACGTTAGCCGCCTGACGGAGCGTGATATCCCTCAGGCCATTCAGGTCCAGGGTGTCAACGCTGGTTGCCAGGGAACCAACATGCTTGTATTGGTTGTGAGCGAGCAAGAGCTCTCCTACGATCGTCTAACGGGTGAAGTTCTTGATTTTACCACTGCTTAGATTTGGATTTAAAAAAACAGATATTTTTTAATTAGCCTGTAAAGCCTCGAAAAGCTTAGGACATTTCTCAATTACGAATGGGTTCTTACGAAGCCAATCGATATAATTAGAATCGGTGCGACTAATTTGTTTTAGCGTCTTACCCTTGTACTTGCCCCAACTCATCATATACGAGTTATCATTGGCTAGAAACTTGGAGTGGAGGAATATCTTGATTTCCTCATTAATATTGAGACTTGGTTGGTTGAGCATCCAGCGACAATAACCAGGATCAGAAGTGAATACTTCTTCGATCGGCGTGCCCTTGTATTTTCCAAAAGTTAGTTTGTTCGACATGTTATTAGTTATGTGTATCTATATACATAGGGTCTTAATTTTTTTTGAGAAAAATAAATTAATAATGAAATTCAGACAAAACCTGTTCTCAGTGGTCGAGCGGTTCTAAGACCACCCTTAGATC